TGAGAGGGCTCTACCTGCTGTTCTACGGGAGGAGGAGCTTGGTAGCTGAAGGCTCTGGCTCATGTTCTACTTTAGAGACTATAGGAACTGCAGTAACCATGTATTCTGGGAGCGCAGGGTACCTGACCATGACAGGGTTTTAGGGAGGAGGGATTTTAAATCTATCAGAATTTTACAGGGCCAGTTGCAAATAAGCGTTATACAGGATAATATGATCTCTTTTCCTGCCGCAGCATTCTGGGTCTAACGTAAAAGTATAGCCCCCTGGCTCTTGCTTTAGTATAAACGGTATTAATATTATTAGAAACAATGGCCTACAAACCTCTATGTAAGCACCCATTAAGGTGTAGCTGCAGGGTAAATGAGATCAATTCTGTCGTGTGGAAATCTTAAGAGTCAACAAGGGCTTGTGGGTAGCACCTGTTAGAGCATTGGTTCGACTCCAACCAACTTGGCCCTTTGCTGTGTCATCCCCTCTTCCTCTCCCCCCTTTGCTGTCACTGTATCCATCTATCATCTATCCATTAAAGGTAATAAAACCCCAAAAAATATAGAAGAAAAAAAACCCAAAACAAGCTTTGTTTTTTTCTTTTACCAAAATGTAAAATAGACTGTAAAATTTACATACACTTCAGAAATTCAGTGTTGCTATATCAATTTACTGTTTATTGGGAATGTCTGTTCAAGTTAGCCATGATCGATCCTTGTGTGGTTGACAAAAGTCTCACAAAATTAAACACGTCATGACAAAAATCCTCTACCAATTTAGCAACCAGCATTCATGAGTCAGTGCTCTGATATATGGTGCAGTAGCAGGTGCAGCTGCTCTTCAGAGTTGTATTTGTCCACTTGTGAACAGTGACACAGCTAGAAACATTATTAGAATTGTCACTGCTAGCAGTGCTTACTGTACCTTTACTTACCTGTGTACCTCCAACCACATTATTAGGATTGTGGCATGTGTCTTTTTATTATGAAAGAGCATTTGGTCAACTAGGCAATAGTTCAAATGATTCTTAATTTTGACATTTTGAGTTGCCTGGTGAGCCCTCTTTGCTCCGACATGACTTCACATAAGCTCGTATTTCTAGAGAAATGATTTGCACCTCACACTCTGTTTGAGGTTAAGAAAGCAACCATAATTATTTCATTCTAATTATGTAGAGGGTCAAGGAGTGTAATTGTGTCATTGTGGAAATATTTCAAGTGTCAATACAGCCTGGCCTTAGCTCTCCTTTCAGTATGTGATTTGGTAAACACGCAGTCCACTAGTATTATCACATAGTGAGGGTTTGATGATTCAGCTTTTCCATATTTATGTGACAGATAGGTTTTACTTACGTAGGGCAAAAATCACAGTTACACACTGTACTGGACAACACATTTTCATAATCATATTTTACACTTCTAAAGTGAGTGTCATTCTCTATTGTCAAACAGCCTTCGTCATCCATGACATGGGAGACCCTCCAGCTGGCAGAGCAGACGCTTGGTGGCAAAGATGGTTGGTTCAGCAGGAACATGAAGGACAGGGAGGCAGAAGTTCTGGATTTCCACTGCTGCCAGTGCACATCGTAAAACCGTCACCAGCTTGCACAAGAGTTTGCAAAGTCGTCCCCGGTTCTCGAGCCTGGACCTCAAACGATCAGGTGACTCTTTTGAAATATGGCGTGTACGAGGCCCTCTTCGCCATGCTCGCCTCCAGCATGAACAAGGACGCTTCTTGTAGCGTATGGCTCAGGCTTCATCACGCGGAAATTCCTCAAGAGCCTGCGGCGACCGTTCAGTGAGATGATGGAGCGAAGGTTCCAGTTTGCAATGAAGTTTAACGGCTGAGCTGGATGACAGTGACCTGGCTCTGTTTTGTGCCGCCATCATCTGCTGTGGAGGTGAGGATGCAGGAAAAATAACATAATATTATAATTAAACTATTAATTTCTGTATGGAATATTATATATTCTTCTCTTTTTGCCTTAAGAACTTGTAACTATCTAAGTATATTTCATATTTTTACAAAAGGCAGGAATTGTAAAAGCACTCTGTTAGTACCTTCTTATTGAATGATTTTATCCAACGAGATTATATCAAGGGAGTCTAATTCAAGTTTATTTTGTCCTTCTGTGATTAGACGACCGGGCCTGGTGAATGTGGCGCACATCGAGCGAATGCAGGAGAGCATTGTGCAGGTGTGCTACCAGCTCCATACTGGCCAATCACCCCGACGACACTTCCTCTTCCCCAAGCTGCTGCAGAAGCTGGCTGACCTTCGGCAGCTAGTCACTGAGCATGCACAGCTCTGTGCAGGAGATCAAAAGACAGAGGACACCTCACTTCACCCCTCCTGCAGGAGATCTACAGAACATGTTACTGAGGGCTGTGGAGAATAACAAGGAGAAGCACTCTAAAATCTCCTTATTTTCAGGGACAGAAGCGAGTCCTCATAAGCTAGGTTGAACCACTTACCCCCCCTCCCTCCCCTCCCTAATGCAGCAAGAGTTAGCTTTGGCTTCTGGTCAGCACAAGAGTCCTGCTTAGGTCCTGGCAAGAGGCTGATGATTCTCTTGATCTTGGCCACAATGCTCTCCACTCCATTGTGTGGACCTTCAGTATGCATGGAAATAGTCATGTATGCAAAGCTGTAGTGTACAGTTATTGAGCCAATGCGAAACAGGCTTTATTTACCGTATAATATTTCTAACCAGTGTAATAGACGAACCTACTGCTGGTAGATGTCCTGAT